GACCGGACCGGACCGGACCGGACCGGACCGGACCGGACCAGACCAGACCAGACCAGACGTCCTCCAGCAGCCCCAGTCTGCCGGGTAGGGACGGTGGCCCGGCGGCTCTCCGGTACCGGCAGGTCTGTGTAAACGTCCGTGGGCTGGCAGCGGTCCCCAGGAGGTCGCTCTCAGCCGTGACAAGACCAGCACGGTTCCTGACGCGTTTCGGCCCGCTCGGGGCCTTTCTTAACGCCGCAGAGACCCGCTTTGTTCCATCCGTACTGATCTCCAGGAGCCGCAGCGGAGATGGCATTGATCCCTCCGGTGCCCTCGATTATACGGAGGATATTTCAAAAATAACGTGCAGGCAAAACACCCCAGAAACCATGGAGGCCCTTCCTTGAGTCAGACTACCGGCTGAACCGTGCAACAGCTGATGTCTCATTGCATTCCTGAAAGAACTGGAATACAGTTTTTAGCTAGTAAACTCAAGCTAAAACTAGTGTGAGATTTTGATAATGTGCTTAGTTTGAAATTAAAAAAAGAGGCACTTCTATAGAGAAATGCATACAAGAATGTATGTATAAGAATGTTTTTGGCTTTATTGTCTTGAACCTGATTTCTTGTGTCCAGCCCTTGCTTGTCTGGCAGTATGGCATTTTTCCAAGGGGATTACTGTCTTCACTTTAAACTTTTGATGACTTGTGAGATTTCACAAAAAGTTTGAGATGAGTAGTGCAAGTAAAATTCTATTTACCATAAATATGGTGGTGTTGATACTTGGGCAGTACTACAAGAAAATTCTTATGAAGACATAAATGCTTACTGAATTGTAAACTTTGTAAGGCTTCAGGTAACTATGTAGTTAGAAGAAAGGGCTTAATATGATCTCTTGATTTCGTAAGTTTTAAGGGAGAAGTAGATTATCCAACTTGGAGAAAATGGTCTTCTTTCAACTGGATACCTTCTTCTATACTCTTCTCTCCCATTTATTTTGGGCCAATTTTAATATGTCAATGTAGCTGCCTTGCCATTGTCCTAATACAGGTTTTGGAGATAAAGGACTGGTCTTGACTGTGAAGTTTTTGTGACCATGACACATTTTTTCCTTAATCCATTCATTAAGAATGTGGTAATCTTTCACAGTACCATGAAATCAGAGAATCAGAAGTGTTGGTTGGAAGGGACCTCTGGAGGTCATGTAATCCAGTCTGTGTTTCAACCAGGACTGTTAGTGGCACTAGATCAGGGCTCAGCTATGACTTTTGACTAGCTGAGTCTTTAGAATCACCAGAGATGGAGAGTCCACAGTTCTGGTTTAGCAGACATTCACTGTTCCAGTGATCCCTGACAGTTAGTCTGTAAATTAGTTTTTGCAAATGCAGTTCTATGGATTGCATAGATGAGTCTTCAGTGAATGCCACACAGTTTTGTACTGTAAGTTAAATGAGCTATATATTTATTTTTCTTACATACTAAACACACTGATCTGTTTTGAATTCTTATGGTTTGATACTGGTTTTATATGACACATGTAAGTTAAGAGACTTAATAAAAATAATACTGATACATATATAATTTCCCTGAAAATTATAATAAATGTGTATAAAATATAATGAAGAATGTTCACACATTCCTGGCATGCCATCCTTAGCAAGGTGTCTTTGAGTATTATGCTTACTTTTGTCCAGATTACCCACTGAAGAGAATTTGTATTTAAAATTAATCCCTCTGAGAAGATACAAAGTTTCATCTTCTTGTACAGGATCATGCTGCAGCCTGTCAGAACCCTGTCATAATTCCTGATGCATCCTATCTCTAAGGTTTTGCACATGCCTAACAGAATACTGAAGATAACTAAAGCCTGTGAGGAATATTAGTCATTTAACATTTTGAAGAAATTTAATAGAAATATATGAAATATTTTGCTAAGGCCAGCTGTGAAAATTCACAAAGCTGCCACATCCCATTTCTGGTTTTCAGCTGAGAAATGTTTCTGTTTTGTAGCAGCCCAACAGCTAGGCTCTGCTATTAACTCCCAGAGAAGATGGCTTTCTGGAAGGAAACTGTACCAGAACACCACCCAAACAGAAGAATGGGACATGATCTGCGAGAAAGAGCCAACGTATATGCAACAGCTGCCATAGCTCCTAAAGGTGTTTGCAACAGGATATTTATTCAGCAGGATTTATCTCAAAAAGTCGTGCATCCCAGAGTTTAAAAACCAGCAAACAACCCCCTACGTAGCTCTCGGGAACAGATTATAGTGGTGCTGCTTTAGGGGATGGTGCAGGCTCAGCTGATAGCCACTAAATACTTGTTTGAGGTACTCTTAAGTTCCTGTGGTGCACTTGGAGAGATGTTGTGGAAGAGGTTAGAGGTTTTACCTTGTAATCAAATACAGACTTCTTTCAGAGGCTTTGTTAGAACTGTTAGTCATTTAGGAAACAATGGGAAGATACAGACCAGTGTTGTGGCATGCTGGGTTGAATGAGTTGAATTACTGATGATTGCATTGGAGGAGTAATTGTTGAAGTCAACAGGCTTTGTCTGTTTAAAAAAAAAATTAGAGGAAGTTTACACTGTTAGTGTGGTTGGATTTGCAACAACTTAAGCTTTTCTGTGAAGCAGAAAGGCCTCTGGGTAGTTCAGTAAAAAATTGGGCCTCTAGCTTTTTTTTTTTTTTATGTTGAGCTGATCACATACTGCTATTTCGTTCTCCTTGAAGTCACTGCAGAAGCTATGAATCAGCACTGCAGAGTGGTGGGTTATGATTGCTGAGTGATTTTGAAATGCCAGTGGGTGAATTTGCACTTAATATTGATAGAAGTGAAAACAAAGCATAGAACTGAATAAACTGAAGAAAACGGGTCGTGCTTCAAAAAAACACATTCAGAAAGGTTAAATACTGAACTGAAAGGGTATGCTCCGTGCGAAGCATGAACGCTTTTGCCTTCTGTAGCTTTTTCAGTGAAAAGTGACAGTGAATGAAGTTCTTAAATATAGAAATTGGGAGACCAAGTAGTTGAATTTTATGCTGTTATGAGAGTGATGTTTTTGTTGCCATCAGTTACTGTTCACTGAGTCAGAATGGTGATTTCAAGTCTCATTTCTGCTATTTCATTCATTTTTCAGCATTCTTGTGAAACCATGATCTATCTGATAAAGATACATACTGATTTTGTTAAATGTCCCAGAGTTGAATTACTGGGAAAGTGAGACTCCATGGGTTTTTATCCACTTTTAAAACAGATCATAACTAAACAATAGACTTTTTTTTTTTTTTTTTTTTTTTTTATCAGGCAACCTTTACAATGAGGCAATAAGCTCATGGAAAAATTACAATATATACTCTGAAATGTTATTGAGTTTCAGTTTTGCTAGCTCAATAGAAATATGGCTTGGTTTTGCTAAAGAACTAGAATTAAAATGCTTAAAACCCAAACCAATTCAAAGCCATCTATTTCTGAACCAACATTGTTGATCCCAAATATGTTGAATTCAAAATAAGATGAAGAAAGATGGCATATGAGCGATAAAAGGTAATCTTGATTTATGAAGCCTGTGTTCATTTTCTCAACCATAAAGTCTCAAAGATTTGTTTCTCCTTAGGTTTTCTCTGGCTACCACTCACAGAATTGAGAATTTGGGCTTGTGGACATTTTTTTTGTTAAGAAGTCCTAGAAGCATTAGCGGGATTTACTGAAGCTGGATAAGAGAGGGGGAGTGAGAGCCACTTGGGAGAGTCCTTCTGCAGCTGCTGAATTCTGCAGTAGCAGATTTTTCTTAGTGGAAGGTGAAGATGATTCAGCATAATAATTTCTTTCGCTTGCTGGCAGTTGTAAACTGCGTGTACACTTCTCATTGTTCAGTCCTTCAGTCCTTGGGAGTCTTAGGACCTGGAATACATGAAGACATGACTCTGATAAGCATTTCACTAGCTCTGCAAAGAGTTATTAGTAAATAAACTGTTACTTAGAGCTGCTAACCACATTTTTGCTGAGAAGACCCTTTTGATTTGTGCCTTCCCTGCTTAAGAGAGAACGTCTCTCAAATCCCTCGTTACATCCAGAGAGTTAGTTCAGGTTTTGTGGCCACACTTGTAATGGCTTGAAAAGATGGTTCCCAGGATTCCTTTGGCATTAGATATCTTCAATTCCTCTGCAGCCAACCTAAGCCCTAGCCAACATAAACTAAAAATTGTCCAGCCTGACCGTTCTCACATGCATGCAGTTGTGTGCTCATGTCTGATCAAGGCCAAATTTGTACAGCTGAGTGATATGGTAGCGTGTGAATGTGATAGTAAGTAGTGTGTGTGGATTTACTGTCTATGTGCCTGTCCAAAACAAAACAGATTACCTGCATTAAAAAACCCCAAAATCCACGGTTTATGAAGTACTGTTTTCTCTGGTATATTTTGTGGTGGACATTTTTAAACAGGGCTGTGGTTATATATATTTGAAAGGGACTTCTATCATGGCAAAATCTGAGCTCTTCTGCAACAGGTGTCACATCTTGCTGAGCTGAACAGCCAGTATATGGGAAGTTCTGAGGACTGAATTCAGCAGCTCTAAAGGCTAGTTATCTAACAAGCATTAACAGGGATGTCTTCTTGAAACAGCTCCAGAACAATCTGTGGGAGCTAGAACAATGTTGTCAACAGGGAGTATGTACGTAGTCATTTATTGCTGTGTTTCCCAACAGTATCATTTGATGAAATGAATACAGGGTTTTCCCCCAGGCTCCTAAATCTGAATATATGTCAGGTTAGTTGCTCAAACCATGACACTTTTGCATATGTTGCCAAGAAAGGGAATGAAAACTCAAATATCTTATTAAGAAATGCATTAAAATGCTTCATCACAACACTGTAGAATAAATTATATTTTTCCTATAGAGATACGTGAAAGATCTGGGTTTGGGAAATTAAATGGCACAGCCAGTCAACATCAGTCTTCATCTTCCTTCTGTTTCTATGTAGAAGTCCCCACAAAAACATGGGTAGCCTGATAAGCATGGAAGAACTAGAAGAGAAGTTGAAAAATTGTGTGTTTGCAAAAAGTAACTACATAGAGGTTCAACTAACTTTTAATTGATTCTAGAAAATAATATCTGTGCTGAAACTTGCACAGTAGCAAAACAGGCATTTTGTGCCCCAAGAGCCATGTATCCTTTACTGGCTCTATCATAGTGTGGGATGCAGAAAGCAAGTAATAGTCTTATTTTCCTGGTGCTCGATGCTTAATGTAGAATGAAGGCATCATCCTGCCGTTGCCATTTTTGTCCTCCTTCTGTGGGTTAGGCTGGCATGTG